ACGGTTTTGTGAAGCCCACAAGTTAACCCTAAACAAAGTGAGTAAAAAATAAATGTTACTGGAGAGCTTCTTTGGAAAAGGGGGAGAGACAGCAGAAGTTCTGAGATTACTGCATCTACCTTTTTTAAAAGTAGTGACAAAGTTTGTTTGAAGAAAGGGAGAAACTAGGCTGGGGATTTAGCTCAATGGCTCCTTGCAAGTGCAAGGTCCTGAGTTCAATCCTGGGGCGGGTGGTTAAAAAGGGCGGGGAGGTCTAGTTCTACAGAATTAAGTTGGGTAGAGGAAAAAGCAAATTAAAAGTATACCCTGGAGTACACAGGGCAGGTTATCACAAGGAAAGCTGTGATAGCCAAGATTACTGCATTTTTTAAAAAAAAAAAACATACCAAGAGTTCACTCAAATTATTGATTCACCGCAATGAGAAATTTACATTTTCCAAGCCCTCTTTGGTACCGGGGATTGAACTTGGGTCCTTGCGCTTGCAAGGCAGGCCACCGAACCGCTGAGCTAAATCCCCGGCCCTAAGCCCACTTTGTATAATATGTGGTGACCAGCTATCCAGCAAAGCTATAAAACCTTCAAAACTGCTTCACCAGGTAGAGACTAAGTAAGCACCCTGCATTAAAAGATAAGCCTTAGGGAATTTTTCAAAAGAAGAAACTGTGAACTTCAACAGAAGTAATTATTGAAGACTACTACTTCATCAAACATGTCTGCACTGAGAGTATCATTCTTAGTGGCTAACTGCATTGCTACAGCTAAGAAGCCCTTTACTATTGGTGAAGACTTCATCCTGCCTTCTGCTAAGATCATTTGTCATGAAATTTTAGGAGAGGCTTCATTCAGTTCAAAAGGTGGTATGTATTCCTCCTTCAGTTAGCACCATAACTAGACAAATTGATGAAATAGCAGAGGATATTAAGACACATTTGTTAGAAAGGATTAATGAGTCGCTATGGTACTCAATCCAGATTGGAGAGTCTATCAACTATGACAAGGTAACAGTGCTTGTTTGTGTGCAGTATATTTTTCAGGAAGATACACAGTGTTGCCAACCAAGATCACAACTACAGAACTATTCAAGTCTTTCAAGGATTAAATATTAAGAAAACGGAACTGGCCATCTTGTGTCAGTATATGCACTGACAGAACAACTGCCTTGACTAGATGGCATTCTGGTTTCACTACTCAAGCCAAAGTGGTCACTTCAGAATATGAGTCTAGACACAGTGTTATCCATAGAGAAATGCTGGCTAGCAAAAAAATGTCACCTAAACTTAACAAAGTTTTACAGGATATGATTAAAATTTATCAACCACACTAAAGTACATGCCCATGAGCCTGTAATCCCAGCATTAGGGAGGCTGAGGCAAGAGGATCACTATGAGTTCAAAGCCAGCCTAGGCTACATAGTAAGTTCAAGGTCAGCCTGAACTACAGAGTACAGACCCTTCTCAAAACAAACAAACAAGGCTGAGGATGTAGCTCATGGTGCCATGCCAGCCTGGCAAGCACAAGGTCCTGAGTTTGATCCCCATTGCCACAAAAAAAAAAAAAAGGCAAAAAACAAACAAAAAAGTACATACCCTTAACTCACAGATGTGAGCTCATGAAGTTCTATGAGGAGATGGAAACAGAGCATGCACATCTTTTCTTGTACACAGAAGTGAGATGGCTTTCTAATGGTAGATCACCAGGCTGAATTTTTGAATTATAAAAACTACTTCAGAAACTTCTTTTAGAAAAATAGTTACGTTTGGCAGCACATTTCAGTGATGCAGCATGGACTGCAAAATTTGCATACTCATGTGCCATATTCAACTTGCTCAACAAACTTAAATGTGTCAATTCAGGGGAGAATGACAACTGTGTTCAAGTAAGCAAATAAAGTGGCTGCACTCCAAACCAAACTGTAATTATGGGGGTGAGGAGTTGGACATCAGGATTTTTGACATGTTTCAAACATTAGCAGAGATTTTGAAAGAGATTGAGAGCCAGAGATTTCTTTCTCTCAGCTGGGGCATGACCACCTATCTCAGCTTTCAAAAGAGTTTGAGCATTATTTCCCAACCACAAAAGACCTTACTGTGAAAGAATGGATCCTTGACCATTTGTGAATAAGCCAGTAAATGGACTCTGTCCATGCTAGAAGAGGATCTGGATTAAAGCCAAGATAAAATATCCTGAGATTAACTACAAAAGCACTGAAAATCCTGCTTCCATTTCCAACATCCTATCTTTGTGACTCAGAGTTTTCTGCAGTGACAGCAACCAAAACAAGATAATGGAGTAGGCTGGACATATGCAAAACCTTCGCAAGTCATTGTCTCCCATCACCTCTAGATGGGACCATCTAGTTGCAAAAAAGCAAGCTCAGAGCTCCCACTGATTCTACATTATGGTGAGTTTATAATTATTTCATTATATATTACAATGCAATATAATAAAAATAAAGTGCACAATAAATATAATGTGCTTGAATCATCTGAAACCACATTCCCCCTCCTCCATCTGTGGAAAATTTGTCTTCCACAAAACTGATCCCTGGTGCCCAAAGCTTGGAGACTGCTGCTCTAAATCATCTAGAGATGATTTACAATGCCCAGTACAATGTAAATGCTATGTAAATGATTATACCACATTGTTTAGAGAATTATGACAAGAAAATGTCTGCACATTTTTAGTACAGTTGCAATTTTTTTTAATCTGTGGCTGGTGAGATATGCAAATACAGAAGCTGCAGGTACAAAGGGCCAACTGTATGTTGGGAAAAGTATTTTTTTACATTTCTTTTCTATTTTCTATTTCTTTATATGTCCTGTGGTTACCAAACAGGTTTTATTTTTCCTGTTTTACCCACAGTGCTGAGGATGGAAGTCAGGGGCTCACACATGCTAGGCAAGTACTATAGCACCTCCAGTCCAGAATTTTACAGTACATCTAGGACACATGATGTTTCCATGGGACAGCAGACAAGAGTCATCCTGACCTGTCCTCAAAATGCTCCAGTTTTTCCCAGCTGCATGGCCCATCCCTGTCAGGATCTGGAGAGGGAAGAGAAACGGCAGGAACACTCTTCCCACACATAACCAGGTAACCTTCCCATCCACAGGCTGAACCTTTCACCTCTTGGTTCAGCTCTGTAACACAGTCCTGGCTCCTATTATCTTGGGGCAGGCCATGACCCCTTATTATTGCTGGAGGTCTGGTGGGACAGTGACTTTTACATTATTCCCTGAAGTTCCATAGCTTCCTCCTCACAAGTTCATGGCAAGCCACCCTGCAGAAAGCACCCTCCCTAAGCCAGGGTCCTTTCCACCTGTGATGTACTGGGGTAGAAAACATGAATCATTACCTTGACCTTGAGGGTCATGACTCTAATTACTATCAGTGGTGGGAAATTCCAAAGATTTCATTACATACATAATCCTCCCAAGGGGGTCTGCAGGGTGGCTCCAGGGGCGGCCAATAGGAGCTGTACACATATGACCTGCCATCCAACTGAATGGATGCTATATTGCCATGAAAAGTTGGCTAAAATGAGAAAATTAGTCTCCTGTATCTTCTGCTGCTCACCCATCCTCACCAACTGTCCTATCCACACTCAGGTCCTCAAGGACTGTACACCTGCTTCCTTCCACCAGGAAACCTTTCTGCACTGGTATATCCCAGGAACTTCCCTCACAGACCCTCCCACAGGCTACTCCTAACAGGCTGACCAGTCCCCCTCATCTTGGTACTGGGGATTAAACTCAGTTTCACACTGAGCTATATAACCAGCCCTATTTTCATTTATTTATTTATTTAGAGACACGCTCTTACTAAATTCTCAGGCTGAGCTCCAACTTGTCACCCTCCTCCAGGGAGCTTCCTGTTTCCAGCCCCGCATCTTCATAAGAAAATCAGCTCAGCACTAGTAGGCTCTTAATTGTCCAGCACCAGGCCCTTGGTAAATAATAGCTTTATCCATGAATAAATGAATCCACACACCCATAAGTAATGAACAAAGAGAACAAATGAACTGGATTAGAGGTTGCTTCAAGCAGTGACGCTGTACAGCTGACAGACTGAAAGCCAAGTGTGGTGGCACATGCCTGTGATCCCAGCACTTGGGAGACCAAGAAGCAGGAGAATCACCACAAGTCCAAGGCCAGCCTGGGCTACATAATGAGACCCTGTCTCAAAAAAAAAGGAGTGGCTGGTAAAAAGGTGAATGAAGAGTCTAAGAAGTAGCCTTGATAGAAGGGAGGATGAAGAATGCAGCAACTGAGAGTCCAGGAAGGTGCTGAGAAAGGTAAACTCTCCAGCCTATGGCTCTTCTTGAGGGCCCAAACACAAGGCTCATCCTACCACCCAGCAGGATGATTTCCAGTCTCTGTCCCAGAAGAGAGGAGCTGGCCAGCAGCCTCCTGAGGTCAGGGGTAGAGGAGCCACAGTTCTGCCTTGCTTACAGAGATGGCATGGGGAACGAGACCTGACTATTCATTCCCACATATCCACCGACTCTCACCGTCCACACAGCATGCTTCTCCTTCACGCCTGTACACACTCACACACTCTCACACTCCCAGACACACTGTCACAGCAACTCTGACCACACAATCCTGGAGGCACAACAAACCCAAAGTCTCACGTGCAAAATCCCAGATTCACATAATCCCAGACTGACACAATCTCAGAGACACAATCTCTGACACTAGGTGATTCACGTCTCCCCAGAGACACAATTCTCGGGACTCACATAATCTCAGAGAGAAACGTGCACACACAACCCACAAAACTCCCCACCCTCTGACACGCTCAGTCTGGGGTTTATACACGCTCGAACACTCGCGCGCACAAGCGCTCGCACACCAGCCGCCGCCTCATACCTGTCGCCCCGCCCCGTTGCTTGGTAACAGTGTGGCCCCGCCCTCCAAGCGTTGGAGGCGGCACCCACCAGCGCAGCTGTCTTCCTCATACCTCTTGGGTGTCCACAACCGCCCAGGAGGATCAGTACCTTTCTATAGTTGATATTGCCCAGGCCTCCACAACAGTCGGGCCCCGACGCAGTACTGCTCATGGTTTCGGCTCCCTGGCCTGCGGTTCCTTTCACCGAGCAGGCCGCCGCAGGAGGGACCGCGCGGGGGTCTCGTGCAGCCACCCACCCTGGGGATCGGCCCCATCGCGCTAGGGAAGTGCTGTCGGCCGGGGCACTTTCCCAGTGACCCCGATTCCTTTGGCCTTCTGGGAAATGTAGTTCTCGATCCCTGTCTTGCTGGACCTGCCTGGCTTCTCGGTGAACCGAAAACTACAAGCCCCAGGGTCGGTCGCAGCAGAGCCTGCGGATTCTGAGACTTCCAGGCAGTGGTGTTTCTCAGATCACAGATCCCTGCACCTGAACCCCCAGCTGGCCTGGCCTTCCAGTCTCTGGTTGGTAGTGCTGGGACTACAAGCCAGGTGCCCTGCCCCATAGGCATAAGTAATTTACCGCGCAGCTTTCCGCCTCTCATCCCCACCCCATTCTGTAGTCTCGCACTTTGGCGAACCGGTGCCCGCTTCTGCCCGCTCTGGGATTCTCTTTTGCCTGGAGGCAGTGCAGGCCCCCTCAGTAGCTGCTCCTTCGGACGCTGGCCCCGCTCCGCTACGGTTTCTTGGATCTTTCAGCTCAGCCAGAGACACCTATTCCGCTCCTTCGTTTCTTCATTCATTCTCACATTCACTCTCGGGTGTTTTCTGAACGTACCTGCATGCTAATATTGTGGAGAGCAATGCAAGATCCCTGTCCTGTCTCCAAACGAAGACAAAAAACAAAAAAATTATAATGTGGATAAGTAATTTTATATTTTATCCTTGAAACTTAGGAACTTAGTAGGGAGGGACTGCATTCCATGTTGCCTAAAGTAGTTTATTCTGGTGCCAGGGATTTAGCTCAGCGGTTCCACCGCCTGCCTTGCAAGCACAAGGACCGAGTTCGATCCCTGGTACCAAAAATAAATAAATAAAGTTTATTCTGGGTGCAAAGTACTAGTCCACTGCCTATTCTTATCTGTGTGAAGGAGCATGGTGGTGCATGCCTGTAATCCCAGAATTTAGGAGACTGAGGCAGGACAGTTAGCACAAATTCAAAGCCAGTCTGGACTACATAGTGAGTTCAAGGCCAACCTAAACTACATAGACCCTGTCTCAACAACAGTAATAACAAAAATTCCTATTAATGTTATTGATCATCCAACTCTATCTCAGGCCCCTTCCCTAGCTAGCCACATATTAATAAGCTAACTAGCTAAACTGTTTTACATAACTATGCCTGTTTCAGGTCTTAGAGAACTCCTTTTGTAGCAAACCATTAGATATGTGGGAAAATAAGAGTATTCCAAGATTTGCTCAGTTCCACAGCCAGCAGAGAACCAGGCAGGACTTGTACAATCTCACCTTTCTGATTCCGCTTGGCCCACAGTCAAGCATCTTGGCCCACCGAGCCCACACTGAGCATCTGCTGAGTGGCTGCTGTACACTGTGTTCCAAAGTGACTGCTTTACTAATGGTCAATCTTCCAGCACCACTTGGGTGGGGCAGGCAGACCAAAGAAACAAGGAAGGATAATGGCCCTAGAACATGCACTAACTGATTCCTCTTTTCTCAGAACTAAAAGGGAAATATACTGGTACAACTCATCACACTGGAACTGCTTATTAAGCACAGGCCACTCACAAGGTTGGGTACAAAGGGCTGGAGGGCTGTTTCTCTAAATGACTGGTTACAAAGATTAGGAACTGTGTCCTGCTCAGGATCTCAAACTAGGCCTGCTGGGGTGCAAGTCATTTCTGTGGAGCCTCCAGCAGCAGGGCTCTGACAAACATCTCCCTTAACTCTACCACATGTCCACTGAAGCCTCAGCCTCATGACTCACCTGGAAATCCTTGGTTTGTTCATAGTCACGAAAATGAATTTCTGTGTGTTTGCCTTATCTGAGAATAAAGGAAGGTAACCATTTAGAGGTCACCCCAAGACTGATGCAATCCATGTCCCTCTTCCCCCAGCGCTCTCCCTCATTAATAAGCGAACACCTCACCTGGAAGCCAAACTTGCAGCTTGAAATATGGTTGGAGTTATTCAGATAAAAAATCTGACGCAAGCTAAAAAAAAAAAAAAAAAAAAAAA